TAGTGGAAGGATAAGGAGATAGGGCTAGTGGTCCAGAAGACTTTCTTCGTCGAAGGCTTTTATTTTACCGACGGTTCTTCGGCTCGAGAAGGTTTGACAACCCTCGACCGATCGTCTCGCCATCGATGAGTTCAAGTGTTTTAGGCGTAAACAGTCGGAGACGCTACCTGTCGCCTGACTGTTTACGCCTTCTATTCCAAGATCGCTTACAAAAGTTTAGTGTAAGTTTTTATTTACGTGATGTATCCATTTTTTAATTTACTTACACCATTGCCAATGTATTAAAATAAGAGCCTAGGACATTTGAATCCACCAGATGAAGCAATGCACGAATACGTGCGACACCCTACAGTGAGAAACACAAAAATCAACGCCGGCGTGAACGTGTTACTATCAGAGACGACAGAGATGCGTGGTAGAAATGAAAAAATATTGTATCGAACGGGATAGAGCACAAATGACCAGTAATAGACTTATTTAACACAGCCAACCCCTCCATTCCACCCCTTACAATGTATTTCGTACATTGTGTACATGCTAACAAGTGTGCATGAGAAGTAAATAAATATATACATCGTATATTGCGCACGATAAACGCAATAACACAATAATAAATATATATTCTGGTTTGTGACCGAGCGTTGAATATAATGTTGGAAAAATTTGATGATACGAGTAACTATGAAATAATAGTAAACGTAGCGTTTGTACCAATTTATCGTTACGAAAGTAGTTTACTGTATTAAATTTGGACAGTGTTCTCCGGCCATATAGATCTCGCGTTATCCGTTATCGCTGCGAAATTATTCTCATTAACATAACTATATAAAGCGACATAGCGCGTAATCGTACGACGTTAACCTAAATCCGATAAATGATTGTTTATACGCATATGTTAATTACGTTCCTCGCTCTGAGGGTTTGCTATATAATTCGTCTAATTTCATTTAATTTTCACACCCGGTTCGTTTGCTCCTTGAAAATTAATTACTTCCAATTATACCCCTTAACCTCGCACGCTGCTAGAGTATAAAATATCACGTTATCTCGCGAGATATTTTTGTCCGCCGAAATATTACTTTCTCATTCCGATTACGTCGTTATTTTGATCACGATATACGATGGAAATCGTACAACTATAACGCGAAACTTTTATCCCTAAACGCAGACAAAATTCCAAAAATTGCTCCAAAAGCACCGCGAATATTTAAATACCGCAAACCATGTTTAAAAAAATTGTCGAAAATAAGATACGTCTTAACGTATATACAAAAATCAATCTCTCAGAGATTGAACGCGTGAAATGTCCATTTCAGAATAAATAGAATAGAATACAAAATTTATAGAAGAAACGTAGTAATAAAAATCCCTATAGAATAAAGATAATAAAGATCCCCTTTTTCTTTATTCGATGAGAAGATTAACTCGATAAGATACGATATAATAAGATATGCTGAATTCGGTAAGATCGTACATATGTAGAAAAAACGATCCTTCTTCGCGAGGAAGAATTTATTTTCTTTCGAGACTGGGTAAAAATCATGAATGGCCGACCGATTTGTCTTCCCGAAAGTTCTTCGAGCTCGACCTTCCTCTCCAAGGTTCAACAAAAATCTGATCTCTTTCTAGGATTCTGAAGAAGCTCTCCTTCGTTAGCTTTCCTTTTGCTCCAGTTTAACGAAGTGTGTGACGAGTCCAAGGTGGACGTGAAAAATGGCCAACAGGGTAGATTTCTCTGGCCTGTGTCACCACCTTCGAGCTAGAGCGTCTACTCGAGATATCTTCGCGTGATCGTTTAACAAGGACACAGATATCTGACATTTTGAAAACGAAAATCACGGGAGATTTTGATTTTAAAATCAAAAGTGACGACGAAGGCAGTCTGATGACTAATTAGGCTTCCATCGAGGCGACGATGTTGGCACGTGGACTATGTACGCTGTCGAGGTACGGTTAATTGCTGGAAATTACACATCTATACTGAATGTCTATACACCATATGCATATGCGACATGTGTATTATGAATTAGTAACTAATGAACTTACGATGAGTGGCAAACCTGTATCCTGTAAATAGACACAGTAAACGTCTTCCTTAAACAATCTCTGCTTTGATTTAAACAAAAGACAGAAACGTCGAGGAAATTCTAGGGAATTCTAGGGAATTCTAGAAAATTCTATGGAATAAAAGATTCATGGAAGTTGATAATAATCGAGACCAATAGATACAAATCCCAGAATTTGTAGACTTTACGTTACGAAACAAAGTCATCGCTCATCGTTGTGAAATTACGATATCCGATAGCAGAAGATGATACGATTTTTGATAAATTAAATCTTCGCATTGTTTCGATGACAACGGAGCTCATTCGCAACACAACAGGCCGACCCCGCTGGTATCCCCCAGCACCCCTTAATATTCGCGCATACGCGTCCGAGAAATTCTGTTAATTGCTCGATACCGTTCTAATGAGACCGGGTTATGACCGTACGATCCGATGGGAGCTGTAGCTTATGCCGATACTCGCTGATTTCGATAGATATCGCGATCCGCGGGTCGCGTTTCGCAGCGTCCAGCGCCATTTTCGAATCGATCCGCGGAAACGATCATTTCGAAATCACGCGGGTGTTCGAAACTCGTTTGGTCTTCAAGTTAAAACGAACATCGATCGAATTTGCCATTTAGAAAAATCGCAAGCGATTGGAGAGGTATTCCATTAGCGAAGAATTCGCGAAAACGCAATTCTCATCGAATCTCGGTGATCGAGCGGCTGTTATTTCGTTGATAAATATGGCTGGCATTTTGTCCGCTATTTCAGACACGCACAACGAATTCCAGAAACGTGCTGGTCTCTTTTTTTTTTTTTTTTAATTCGGAACAGTCGACGCTTGTAACGCTAAAACTCGAGCGGTTTCATTGTTATCTGAAGGTCTGTTTCACGAGCGGCCCGAATTGCACATGGCCAGAATTTATGCTCGAAAATTCGCTCCTCGTAGAGAGATATTCAGCGCGGAATGGGACGAGAAAAAATAACGCTCGAATCTTATGATCGCGATAACGCAGCAAGCTTTCTGCATTAACGGCGCAATTTCACGCACTCCGCGCGTTCCGCGCCGAACCCACAACGGAACCCTTCGCGGACGGAGCACTTTCCTCGAGAGGATCTCGCGAGTATTCTAATCGACTGTGACAACCGTACACAGTGTTCCTCCTGGACAAGTTCGAACCGTTAATCTCTGCGAATTTCGAGTGAAAAATTTGCTCGAAGCTCGTCGAAAGACGACCGAAGATTCGAAATGTGCCGACATTGGTTTTCGCGTTTAGGAACGCGTCAGAATTTTTGTGAGAAACGACGAAACATTTCGTGACCCCGCGGAGAATCGCCTATCATTCTGCTGGACGCTGACCATTAGTCTCTCGCCTCTGCTCGTTCCGTTCGCGACCATAACTCGCTGCACGGACACTAGGTACACTGAAATAATGTTACACGCTGACAACGCTGATTTAACTTTACGACGCTTTTTTATCGACGACGTAATGAAAGAACGACACGTCGTATTCACGTTAATTTAACCGCGTATTCGCCGCTCGAATTGCGCCATTTGGTCACGCAGTTTCGACCGTGCCAGACAAGTATAGTGCCAGCGCTCGAATCATTGTTTTCCCAATTTTCGATTACGCGTAGCCGTGGATTTTTCGCTGGAATCGCGAGCTCGGTTCCGGCTCTAGCACGCGAGACTCGTTTATCTGATAATGTTAACAAATAATCCAAGTTTAACGGTTGCTGGCTCATCCAACGTACTTCTATTTTCTGAGGAAGCATCGAGAGATACGATCACGATTTACGCTTAACGCTTTATTTAAGATGACGAAGCAACGTTCAAGGGTTACACAGGGATATTTTTATAATATACTGCATGAATTTAACGGTATTACTATTGAAATAAGGGATAAATTAACCCTTTGCACTCGATGAATTTTTGGCTAAAGAAGAGTAGAAATTCAAAGATTCTCTACTAATAAACTGACAATACTTTTTACAGCAGTAAATAAATAATTGTATAATAATAGAATCGTAGAATTATTTGATTTCGATACCTCGCACACTGTTACATTACATTAAATTTGATATATTAATTAATATCGATCTTCCAAATTTATTGAAATGGTGACTGAAGCTCACTCCTCTCGAGTGCAAAGGGTTAATTTAAAAAATTAATAAGCTTAAGCGAAAGTTTCTGTTGAAAATAAGATACGTCTATATCGAATATACAAAAATCAATCTCTTAGGAGAAATAGATATGTTTTTGAACTATGCATCGAAGTGTTTACTTCATGCTGCAGATAAGAATTAGAGGACCAGGACGAGCTGCATTCGCATACCCTTTTCCTTCGCTCTAATTTTCACTCTCTACGCGAACAATCAAAATACTTGAGATATACCTTCTTTAGGAGAGAATAAAGATAATTATAAAATACAGATAGTTATTTATCTTTATCCACAATCCCAATAGTTTCATTGGCTGTTTGCAAGGATTAAAGTATTACGATGAAAATGTATAATCACGTTTCCATCTCGATGAAGGCTGATATTAATTTTGCTAAAAGCAGCTGCAAGTTCTCCGCGACTGCAAGGATAAAAAGTCTGAACCCAGTTCGGTAGTTCCAGTGCAAACCTACCACTTAAAACAAAACGCAAATTCGCTTAAAAAATTGAAACCCTGAGACAACAACCCTGACAATCACGCGTTTTCCACGCTCCTCGATCGAATCAAGTGTGCCGAAGTGCAATCCGAGTCAAGTATAATCCAAATCGCGACGGAAGGATAAGTAAAAGAGCAAAAGATCGGTATAGGGAAAAGATATAGCAAATGTATAGCAAATCGAAAACGTGAGTGGGCAATGAATTTGGCAATTAAATCACCGATTAATCGCGATCTGCAGAAACGATCGGACATAATCCTTTGCATTAGTTGTCGACGTTCGCGTATTTACTCACCCTGCTCCTGCGCCCAATTGATAAGGGATGGTACACGGGCATCAAAACTGGAATTACAGTTCTCGAAGCGTGCAGAGGAGTCCAGGCCAACGGTCTCGTAATTGGCTTTTACTCCGCAGAGCAACGCCGTCGCGCATGCCGAGGACTCTCCGATTTGGGCGTCCATGTTGTAAGTCTGCAAATGAAAATGGAAGACGTAAGTGTTACTTGCTTTAATTAGTTTGCGACATGTTGCGCGGGCAATTCTTACTGAGAGTAAATTAGTCGCGTACAACGTTGGCTTTCGTACGTGTAACCATTGAAAGATAGTAGTTGTATAAAATTGCACTGATCTCTGAACGTACTGTTGGATGACTAGCGATCCGTTTACTCCTAGTCACTAGAAGGGCCTAGCTAATAAACGCTGACCAATTCCAGAATCCAAAAACAACTGACTCATTCCTACTTTCACTAAAGGTTCACGGCCATCTCCACTTCACCAAAACTAACAATATTGTGGGCAACTTTCACCGCGGCCCATTGTCTTCCAGCGGGAGACAGCTCTTCGTTGGAGTTCTAGGAAGGCCTCACTGAGGACAACAGCCACAGATGGGGATGCTAGACCCTAAGCTGGGGCGTTTGGACCGAAGTTTAACCAAAGAGACTACGGACACGCGAAGACAAGGCGACGGAGAGGGGACACGCCCTATAGAACAGCGAGGGACGCGTTTTTGGGGCACTATCCGACCACAGTACGAATAGAATAAAGAAGTTTCGCAGAAGCACAGAGCCTAGTTTTACTAAAATCCTTCCTACAATATATAAACACCTACAAAATTTGCGAAAAGCTAGGTTTTTTTTCTCAGCCGACTTATATTTTTCCGACACAGCCTTTGTGGGCAATTTTCACTGTTGCCCATTGTTTTCAGGGCGGGAGAAAGCCCTTCGTTGAAGTTCTAAGAAGGCATCGCCGAGGTCCAAGATAACAGCCACAGATGGGGATGCTAGATACTAAGCTGGGGCGTTTGGACCGAAGTTTAACCAAAGAGGCTACGGACACGCGAAGACAAGGCGACGGAGAGGGGGCACGCCCCATAAAATAGCGAGGGACGCGTTTTTGGGGCACTATCCGACCAGAGTACGAACAGAATAAAGAAGTTACTCAGAAGCACAGAGCCTAGTTTTACTAAAATCCTTCCTACAATATATAAACACCTACAAAATTTGCAAAAGGCTAGGTTTTTTTTCTCAGCCGACTTATATTTTTCCGACACAGCCTTTGTGGGCAATTTTCACTGTTGCCCATTGTTTTCAGGGCGGGAGAAAGCCCTTCGTTGAAGTTCTAAGAAGGCATCGCCGAGGTCCAAGATAACAGCCACAGATGGGGATGCTAGACCCTAAGCTGGGGCGTTTGGACCGAAGTTTAACCAAAGAGGCTACGGACACGCGAAGACAAGGCGACGGAGAGGGGGCACGCCCCATAAAATAGCGAGGGACGCGTTTTTGGGGCACTATCCGACCAGAGTACGAACAGAATAAAGAAGTTACTCAGAAGCACAGAGCCTAGTTTTACTAAAATCCTTCCTACAATATATAAACACCTACAAAATTTGCAAAAGGCTAGGTTTTTTTTCTCAGCCGACTTATATTTTTCCTACACAGCCTTTGTGGGCAATTTTCACTGTTGCCCATTGTTTTCAGGGCGGGAGAAAGCCCTTCGTTGAAGTTCTAAGAAGGCATCGCCGAGGCCCAAGATAACAGCCACAGATGCGGATGCTAGATACTAAGCTGGGGCGTTTGGACCGAAGTTTAACCAAAGAGGCTACGGACACGCGAAGACAAGGCGACGGAGAGGGGGCACGCCCTATAAAACAGCGAGGGATGCGTTTTTGGGGCACTATCCGACCAGAGCACGAAGAGAATAAAGAAGTTACTCAGAAGCACAGAGCCTAGTTTTACTAAAATCCTTCCTACAATATATAAACACCTACAAAATTTGCAAAAGGCTAGGTTTTTCTTCTCAGCCGACTTATATTTTTCCGACACAGCCTTTGTGGGCAATTTTCACTGTTGCCCATTGTCTTCAGAGCGGGAGAAAGCCCTTCGTTGAAGTTCTAGGAAGGCATCGCCGAGGCCCAAGATAACAGCCACAGGTGGGGATGCTAGATACTAAGCTGGGGCGTTTGGACCGAAGTTCAGCCGAAGAGGCTACGGACACGCGAAGACAAGGCGACGGAGAGGGGGCACGCCCCATAAAACAGCGAGGGATGCGTTTTTGGGGCACTATCCGACCAGAGCACGAATAGAATAAAGAAGTTACTCAGAAACACAGAGCCTAGTTTTACTAAAATCCTTCCTACAATATATAAACACCTACAAAATTTGCAAAAGGCTAGGTTTTTTTTCTCAGCCGACTTATATTTTTCCTACACAGCCTTTGTGGGCAATTTTCACTGTTGCCCATTGTTTTCAGGGCGGGAGAAAGCCCTTCGTTGAAGTTCTAAGAAGGCATCGCCGAGGTCCAAGATAACAGCCACAGATGCGGATGCTAGATACTAAGCTGGGGCGTTTGGACCGAAGTTCAGCCGAAGAGGCTACGGACACGCGAAGACAAGGCGACGGAGAGGGGGCACGCCCCATAAAATAGCGAGGGATGCGTTTTTGGGGCACTATCCGACCAGAGCATGAATAGAATAAAGAAGTTACTCAGAAACACAGAGCCTAGTTTTACTAAAATCCTTCCTACAATCTTCCATGTCATCAGTCTCGTGACCCCTGCTTGCGATGCCTCGCGGGCCTTTCGAAAAAGCCGAGGGTTTATGGTAGCCGCAAGCGCTGCTGAGGTCGTTATTGTTTAAGCCTGAAGGCTGCTTTTTACCCTGCTAAATGGGTAGACTTTCGCTGAGGACGACTTTCTCAAAAACAGCGATGGATGGGCGAGTCCCATAAACCCCCTTGACCATTTTCACGCCAAATGTTCTTATTTGTCCGTACCTATAGTGCAGATCGTCAATGCAATCATGATAAAAAATATTTTTAGATGCGATAACGATATCAGTGTCGTGACAAAGCGATTACTTATCGACTAATACCATTCGTTATAGTAACTATGACGTGTTCTCGTTCCACTTGAAACGTGAAAATTCGAATTTCGTCGAACATTCATCGAACGCATTGCACGTTATGATAGTCGGACTTTCTTTGGTGGTCGCGTTGTGCGGATTGAACGATAAGCGATCGGGGGGCGGAGCAGGGGGAAGAGTACCTCTATGTACATAAATCTTGACGGCATTATCCGTAGAAGGCCGGATCTGTGAAAAATACTGCCAACTTTTGGCACATCGCTTATTATTCGGAAACTGAGCGATCCACTCGAGTGCCGAACGATGCAAATAATAACGGGGTGTCGTCGAGCTCGAAATATTCGAAAAGGTGCCAGGATAAGCGCGACCAACAGCTAGGTGAAATTATTCTGCGATTCAGTGATCGTACATACTTAAAAAACTAGTTTATATATTTACATGATTGGATCAATGACAATTAACTGAAGTCTGATGCAAAATAAGCTTTTCCTGAATCGGAATTTAAACGTTCTCTTGGAAAAGTAGTTTAACATATTACGGACAGATAACGAGATATCTCGTTTTTCATATTGCGTAGTTAGAGGCCGTTGGTGAGATATGGCAAAGTTGCTACGTGATAGTCAAGGGCAGTTTTTGGTAATTTGCATTGCGAATTAATTATTTGAAACCCTGAAATATGGTAAATAGGGTAATGAAAAATATTAAGGAATCGTTCATTTTTAAAATTGTCGTTGAAAATAAATATTTCACGTAACAATTATGAGAGAAGTCTTTATTTGGATGGCGTCACCCTGCATCGGGATCTATGTTTGCTTCGAGGAACCATCAAGATTATCAATTTTCGAAGCAGAACTGAGCGACGCAATGGGTCGTCATAGGGCCTACAAGAACCTGGCTGAAGGGTTCGAGGGAACACACTCGACAATTTACCGTCTGCATCACGCATCGTACAAGACAAGCCTCCACGCATTTGTATTGCAAGAGAATGAAATAGAATCAAAGTTTAAAGTTAAACCTTCATAAACCCGATCCTTTACCACACAATGATTTTTAACTATTAACAAATCATCGCTAATTTAAAAATATTTGACGCAAAATAATACTCGGCTACTGAGTACGATTAGCAACAAAATGTCCGATCCACGATGTGTTAAGACAAACGGCCAAAATTTTTTCCCCGAAAAATATCGTTCAGCATATATCTACTGATTTGAATCGTAAGATAATCGTATTTCGTTGAAATCGCGAGTCTTCTTTTTCCCCGAAGAAAATACACCATTCTATTTATAATTATTGATCACCGATATATTTTCTCGAATTGTGCGCAATTAATATTAATTGCGTAACTTATCATCCACAACACGCGAAATCTATCGATCAGCTGTTTCGTTCCGTATGTCTGCATATCCGCGTTTCTTGCGACATAACCAGGTATCCAACAAAAGGAAGACGCACAACGGTGCAGTACATGTTAAACAATACCACATGGTATTTGAAATACGCTATCTCGCTCTTTTCGAACGCGAACGTGGAATGTCAATGTGTTTGGATAAAGTTATCTCGAAGAGATAAGTACATAAAATATTAGATATCACCTTTCGCGCGTACAGTTTTGTCAAGGATCGTAGAAGTGTAATGTTGCTGTAAAATACTCCGGACAGCGAAATGGCCAACGAACCAGATCAATCAATGTCGATAACACAAACCATTAAAAATTACTTCGACGTGGACAGTTGGAGCTTCCTGAAACCAAAGTGAGTGAATATTACTTCGTTAAAAGAACGACGCACGATCGAGCGATTTCTGACAGCGCGATGACATCCAGGTAGATTGCACCATATCGATGACATCAGTCGATTTTCGAAGCGGATCGGCTCTATTCGCGCTAGAGAAACTCTCCGAAACGGATCGAGGAAGCAGGGAAAAAGTTTCGTTCGAGCAGGAAACGGTGACATAGAAGTAGGTGTTTGATAACGGGCCTTCGAAAAGCGCGACTTCGATACGTGTGAGGCGTCAACGACGCAATAAACGGAGGAGCGTAAAGCTTCGCGTGATCTAGCACGGGCTCAGGGCTCGTCCGAAAGTGCACGAAATCACGACAGGGACGCGGAATATGCATATTTACCGGCTGAAAATTAACGTGTCTATGGTGAAATTAATTTTACGGGGTGGTTCACGGTTAAACGTAGCGCGAGGTGTTTGCTTATTGCGCTGTGAAATATCAAAGACGACCAAGGTTCCTATGATCTCGAGTGATTAAAAAGGCTGACAATGAGTACGATCTTCCTTGGGTTTCTGACCTCTGATTTCATGGATTATGTCCGCGAAATTTTTTATTTCCACGAGTCGTTCTGAAAGTTCCCGCGCAATTTCTCGACAAATTTAGCGTCGTTGTATGTCAGAGATAGTCAGTCCCGAGAATTGTTCCGGATAAAAAGATACCGTACTCGGTAGATTATTTTAACTCGCGCAGTTACAACGGTTGAAAGTTTCGATAATGCTGCAGTATAATTTTACGGTCGATATGAAGTGGCCTTCATTATGCAGCAGTAAGGTTTTAACCTGTTGTAACTGTTGTACGTAAGTATTCTGAATACGATCCACTTTCTCGTATTACGCTTTTTACTCGCAATGGCTTCCCAAATAGTCCAAGTTCCCTACTCTCGTTTCGAATCACCCGTTATATCACCGCAATGTCGGGGAGAATTATCGATAGTTCCTAGAGAGTAATTCTAGAAACCAGGCCGAGCTATATACACCTATATACCTATGTTTCGAGTAAAATCAGAGGTAAATCCAAAGGAAAATTCACTGTTTAACACACTGTTCGAGGTTATGCGGGCCCTTTCGGGCCGTAAGGACCGACGAGACCTGAACGAAAAGTCTAGGGACCAACGTAGCGTTCAACGTGTTAACGAACCGAGTCACTCCGGTGGTGCAATCTCGCGTCGATGATGCAACAGTTAATCGAATCAAAATTTCCCACCACGACCATTCCCCAACTTCCCGATAAGCGCGTACTCCAGACCTAGTTTCCAAATCCTGTCTAGCAACATTGTCTGATCTATTCGCGCGAACTGTATCGAACGACAGAGGTAGTCGCTATAAACAAGATATCTCTGACACGCTCACTCGCGCGAGCAAGGATTCGTGTAAAATTCGCTGTTCATTTTTGAAATACCGTTTCGATGGCAATATTACTCATCAGGAAAAACCATATTGCCGACCAAGTACCTAGGTAAAACACGATGACATCGACTGACGCTTGACCATCATATATGCCAAGTCTCCTGAAGCGTGTGGCAATAATTTAGTTCGTTTTTCCGTTTATAATCCCTTATACTTTAAATTCGGAAACGCTTTCCAATTGCAAATTAAATAGCCCTACCAAGAGTCTACATAAATGCTGGACCTATTAGCTCGTAGAATATATAAACACGAGATAGCAAGATAGGCACACAGTCCACTTATCATTTCGAAGCCAAACACAATTTCCTGGAAGAACCGTTCGTCACTAATCGTCGTCAAGCAAGAACGACCTAGTGACGATATACATTCGCAATTCACCCTGATAAACCGTGAAACCCCTAAAATTGTATGACTCTGCAATTACATTTAATCGTCATACACCCGAATCTGTGGTTAGGAGAGAAAGAAAAAGGTGTAGCAAAAAGGAAATTAACAGTCCCATATTCCCACTCGCAATTTTGCACTCCGCGGATCTTCTTTTTCCTTCGATTACACGGGTTCGTTATAATCGTTGTTCGGGGATTAATATCCGCGACATTTGGACGAGCGCGAGAGGTCGGACAGGGATTAGCGGTCGGTAGAGAGCGTAGTCGAGCTCAAAGGAAGCGCGATGGACCTCTATAATACCGGTAACTCGTTTTCTCTCTCCCTATGAACGTTTGTTTGGTAATGGCGGCAGGTCCAGGACGCATTTGTGACCAGTTTGTAAGCACTCCGCGACCGGCTTTGTCATCCAGACCCCGTCATCCGTGTCCGCGTGCACGAATTTGCTAGGCTGCACGTACGTGAAAGCGTGTCTACACGGGCTCATACCGGAGTCTTTCAACACGGGTACCTCGAGTCGTTTAAAAAGCTCGATTCTGCATCGACACGTGACGTTTTGTGTCCCATCCTTTTTCCCCATTGCCCGTCACCATGTTTTCCCCCTGCGCTACGCCGACTCTTTCCGACGATGTTCAGCTCGTTCCGCGTGGCCTTTTTTCCGTCGTCCAGATTAAAATTGACGGGTATCTAATCGTTGAAAAATCACAGTGAGCCTTTGAACGTTCCAGCGGACATGGCGATTTTCGCTCGCGACTATTCGTAGCGGTACAAAGAATATCGAAGACTCGACGGCGGAGGTGATTATGGCTATTCACGGGCTATGGCTAGGTCGGGAACTATGTTAAATAGCTAATGGTACGGTTTATTTGAGTATAGCGTGTCGGATAGTCGCTGTCGTGATAATGTTTGGGAACTAGGCGCGAACGTTACCTGTGTACTGCAACTGTGCATGGTAAACATGACATAAGCAGCGGGATGAACCGAGCGCGCTATGCCAGAATTAGTATAATAACGCTTTGCGCCACTCTGTTATTCGATATAAATAATCCCCCTTCCATTATGTTAACCCTTATCTAACCCTATCTAATCGCGAGAACGATAACTAAAGACGATAAGTAACGGAAGATAAGGATTCTTTCGCGATAATTCGTGGATGAGGATTGAATTGTTTCTAAAATTGTTTCCACCTGAAATTATCAAAAATTTTTCATCGCTGCATTTAAAGTAGTATTTCCAGTAGCATTTCTCGGGGGTAACGAACAATGATATAATCCATCTCGAGTCAGTCGCGATAAATTCGTAAAATATAGACTCTGGGTATCTTGGAATTTCATATGACGCAACAAAGGGTTTCTGGGGTCTGCAAGCGCTTGGTGAATAATTATAATCTTACCGAAGTGTGCCATCAGATGAAACGGTTAACGCTTACCCTGCTGAAACGCACTAACGCAATCTGCGATCCCGTGAAATCACGCTCAAATGACGAGGAAACACACTGGTCGCGTTTGATTCCATCCACCGTTGCAAATGGAATAATAACGCTTGATAGTTTCGAAGATCGTTTACAGTTTCCCGGAATTTTCGTTACTCCGTGCTTATGGTAATCGAGCTAATGAGCTGCATTTGCGTGATCGCATCAGCGGCTTTTAACCGAAAAATGTGCAAACTGTAGGTAAACGAGGTTCACAGTTTGAGAAATGTCTTCTTTTTAACAGTAGAATTCAATTATCTCGTACGAGTATTCGCAGGATTGGGAAAATAAGATGGATATTAGGCTCGAGTTAGCGAGAAGATATGTGGACATAATGGTAACTGTAACGAGTTTGCGATAACTCTTAATTGCAGTACACGTTCGTTATAGTATCTTCTCGATTGTTTTGACAAGTACTTTGTGCTTCTAAAGTTTGATGCGCTGTGCGAGCGGTTTACGGGGAGATTGAATACTAAACGTAATAATAATCAATTTATTGAGGAAATGTGTCAGCGGTTTAACAACTTCCGAAATGCTTTGCATCTTAATGTTGAAATTAATCCAATCGGAATAACCAATAATTCATTGCGAATTTGTCGAGGGATGCGCGGAGAAATCGTTTCAAAATACACAGCTTATGACACCCTCGACAAAACAACGATAAAATTTCTGAATAACGAAAAATATAGAATAGTACTGTTCATATTGAGACGTTCCTATATTCCTAAACTTGACAGACTGTCTAAGAAAAATCTTAAAAAATTACGATCCACGTAATAATTTAAATTAACATAATAATTCCGATAAATTTCGGAATAGCATATTAGACATACGGTATAATAACAGTTGTTGGAACCCGGATTTCAATATACAACACGAGTTCTAGCAACAAGGCTACGTTGGAAAAATGCAAGTTGGCGGAGAGGAAAAAGCAAAACTGAAACTGAAACTGGAACTGACTGAACTGAACTGAAACTGGACTTTTCGCAAATTTTGTGGGTGCTTATATGTTACTTTTTAGTGGACTGAAGATGACTATTGGCCCTTAATGAAAGTAGGAATGAGTCAATTGCTTTTGCACTCTGAAATTGGTCTGCGTTTATCAGCCAGACCCTTCTAGTGATTAAGGGCCAACGAATCGTTAGTCATCCAACACAGCAATCGTGACAGCGATTTAAGCCTCAAATTTCCAATATGCAATTAAATGAGAAAAAGATTTGGACAAATTTATGGCATAACGTATTGACCCTCTGCACTCGACGACTTTTGGCTAAAGAAGAGTAGAAATTCAAAGATTCTCTGCTAAAAACCTGATAATACTTTTTGGAGCAATAAATAAAGAATTGTAAAATTATTTGATTTCGATACCTCGCATATTGTTACACTGCATTAAATTTGATATATTAATTAATATCGATCTCCCAAATTTTATGAAATGGTGACTGAACCTCACCCCTCGAGTGCAAAGGGTTAAATATAACACAAGCTGGACCCAAAGTGTGTACGTAAGAATTCCAGTACTGTTCATGCACACTACTCTCTAAATTTTATACGCAGATTCGAATTGCTGGTTATTCCCGCTGAAACTTTGCCCCAAGTACACCTTGTTCTCGCTTAAGAAGATTCAGTCCCGCACAGACAATGGCACACAATCGCGCACACACGAAAACACGCACGCACACACATCCACGCAATTCAACCGCGCACAGCCTTTGATGCACGCATGCATTCACGGAGTTGTAAGTACCAAACACTACGACCCCGCTTCTCTCTTAGCGAACATTCCTGCCTCTACATCATGAACGCGCGTTGTAAGTGCGATAGCAATTGCCACTTGTTTCAGAATATTACATTTACTGCCGTTATAAAACGCGTCATTTGACAACAAAACAACCGAGATAGCGATACTACCCCATCCGCGAAAAGTATGCGTGTTAGAAATAGCGCGATACAGTGTCCTGCTGTATTATTTGCGAAGAATTCAACACCGATTTCGTTCACGCGAAATTTCAGATTCCTACCATACTTGTTTCAACGTTTGCAGCGTGTTATAGACCCCTCGAATTAATACGTCCTTTCTGAAAATGAAGACACCGTCAAGCTTTATTTTTCTATAATTTATTGCGAAATTTATCGTGTACGTAGCTTCACGCGAAGGAGGAAAGTAATTATTTCCCGGGTATCAAGTTCTGTCTGGAGCATATTAAATATGGAAAACCGATATATCGAATCGAAAGCCGATGTGTTGGCTTCAAGTTATTCAGAAAGTTAATTAGTATTTACAAACTGTAGGTGAAATTATAATTTAATGAGATTTAACCCTCGATGAATAAATTATTATAGAATATAAACTAGAATATAGGACAAGAAAAGGAAAGAATCGTAGACAGACGTGTCAGCTTCCCTCGACACATTGATCGATTATTAATCTACAATTTTGTCTTTAGAGCGAATTGTCTTTAGAATTCGACGGATTAGGGCAGAACAAAGAGGTTCAACTGAAAGCCGCGTTACGCTCCAAAGTGCAATTATATCTGCCTAAACCTTCCATATTCCAAACACCAGAAGCTCCTAGCATCCGACTACCCAAGGGAACCTACATTCATCCCTCGTGCTCCTTAAACTCCAGCCAACAACAAACTACGAGTAGCGAGACCAGTTTTCCGGCTTAAATTAATCAAGAGGCGAAGAAAGTTTTCCCTATTTTCCCAAACAATACCGATCGCTGTACCCCTGGTAGGTTATCACGGAGTATTACTAGCCGTTCGCCGCGGCGAGAATGACGGTAATCGCGCAGGGGTGCACCCCTTGTCGATCGGCTCACGTACACGGGTTTGCAAGAAGCTACGAGGGCTTGGCGATAAAACGAAACGTTGCTGCGAGTTCTTCAGCCCCGGGATTGCGATCTAAGTTAAAATTAAATCGACCGTCGGATGATTCGGCGGACCAGGGCACGATCACGTGCGCTGCCGGAACCTAGATTCCGGACGTTCTCCGGCGTGCAGCGAGATTTTCCGTTCGCGGCGTACACCTAGCGTACGTGAGCGGAAAGTACGAAACAGCCTTAATGCACTTCCGCGAGGTCCTCGCGACGGATTACACGCCGACGCGTCCTTTGAGTGCGGGCGAAGCGCGCGGCGCCGGAAGTCGACGCGATGGCGAAGAATTAGGGACTCGAAGGGTTAGGTTCGCCACCGGCAGTTTCAAGAGCAGCGACTCTTGTTTCTGTGTCGGATTCCGGGTAACGGAAATGTAGGATTATGTTCACTTAGTCAAAGGGATAACGTTGCGGATGCGCTGCTTTTTGGAAAACATTAGGCGGAAAGTTGTAGGTACACAGTACTCGAATATACGCGTATATTTTAGGGACACGTATTTTGCGTATATCTAAATGCACATTCCATCGATTTCATTTTAATTCCTGTAACTTCGGAGCGTCGATATTAATCTACGAATCGAAGCTACTAGCGCCGCAGGCATCGCGATTAAGTACGAAAATTAATTGAAATATTTTCAGTAGGAAAATTTGTTTAACGAGTCAATAACGCGTACACGTGTGCCTGTTTGTTCTTCGTGGAATCGATACCTGATCAATTTGAGCTATGAACAGGGGTCGTGAAAATAATGAAGATCGCGGTATTCGAGTATCGTATAGTTCAACCCTTTGCACTCGAGAGATGACCCTCAGTCACCATTTCATAATATTTGAAAGATCGATATTAATTAATATATCAAATTTAATGTAATGTAACAGAGTGCAAGGTATCGAAATCAAATAATTCTACAGTTCTATTATTATATAATTCTTCATTTACTGCTCAAAAAATTATCGTCAGTTTTTTAACAGAGAATCTTTGACTTTCTACTCTTCTCTAGCAAAAAACTCGTCGAGTGCAAAGGGTTAAATTTAAATAAGAGAAACAATCAAGAATACTTTTCATTTTACAACCTGTCATAACAGGTAGTAAAGTGTATTACACCACAGTGCAGTGGTCTCCAGCCCGTCGTAGCCGAGACAAATGAAATAAAGTTTGAAAATTATGTAGAATGAGGTACGCTGCAACGAGCAGCTTACTAGCTACAAAGAAAACGCACAGCAAGAAAAGAATATATTAAAACCGAATATCAGCTGAAGCTATTGTTCGGAAAATCCACAACGCGGATGTATCGCCAGTGACGTACAGAAAGGGTAAAATTCGAGCTACGAGCCTCGTTTCATTCGCGTAATTAGGGTGCACAGGCGACCTGGGCCACGTTCGTTCGTTCGTCCTATTCACGATCGAATAAACGTCGAAAATTTTCCCGCGTATCGTAGATCTTTGCCTCCTAGAGACCTTATTTGTCGCGCGTTCGTGGAACGGGGCGTTGTTCACCTAAACCACCCTCACCCTTCTCTCGCGCGACCCCTTTTCGGGGTCCAACATTTTACGAGAGGCATAAAAACTGTCAATGCGCGACGTCGACACCAAAACTGCGGATACACGCGCTTTCGTTACGGCACTTCGATTTCCCTTTTGTGTTTCTTCCTTTTTTCCCCCCGTCTCTTTTATTTCCCCCCTATTCCCCTTTTCTCCGTTTCTCCCCTTTCCCCGATATCTCGTCGACCAGCGACGTCCGGAAACAGCGAGATTTGCCGACTGGCGGAAAAATATACGCTTCGGCCGAAGTTATCACGAGGCGACGAATCCGCGCGAGCGTGTACAGCGATCGTAAAACAGAACGAGAAGGGCTTTCGAACGGCGTAATACGGCCTGTAACGGATCCTATATTAGGCGGGCTTGAATCGGGAAAGAACGAATTGCCGCATTGAATTTACATGGGAATATGAATTCCCTACAATTAAATACCGCTCGCTCGCGATACGGGCCAGTGTCGAGACCATAATCGACCGGATAAATTGTTTTCACGCGGAATACGAATTGCCCAAACCGGGTTCAGGATATTGAATATACGCCGAAGGGAAATTTGAAAGGGGATCACGGAGGTGTGCAGCGTAACTGGCAAACGATACGATTTCGATACGATAATAATCGTGGAAGATTGATTTATGATATTTTTCTTTCCTATTTTTTGTAAACAATATTGTTAAATGAAATTTTGTCCGATACCACGTTGACGTCTCGTTAATCACTGTCTCCATTGCGATTCCCAATATTCGTGAAAAAGCTTCGAAAATCGCAAGCAACCTCGAAGCTATTGCACGCAATATCCTCCTGTCCTATTTTCTGTTCGATGATCACGTCGACGATCTTGTTCTCGGCGAAGGTTTTCCAAAATTTTAGAAAATCTTGCTCGACATTCGCGCTGTTACACGAGTAATTAAAAATTACTCTCTTTTTGTCCAATATCACGTTGACGTCTCTTTAATCACTGTCTTTATTGCGATTCCCAATATTCGTGGAAAAGCTTTGAAAATCGCAAGCAACCTCGAAGCTATTGCACGTAGTATCCTCCTATACTATTTTCTGTTCGATGATCACGTCGACGATCTTGCTTTCGGCGAATATTTTCCAAAATTTTGGAAAATCTTGCTCGACATTCGCGCTGTTACACGAGTAATTAAAAATTACTCTCTTTTTGTCCGATACCACTTTGACGTCTCTTTAATCACTGTCTTTATTGCGATTCCCAATATTCGTGAAAAAGCTTCGAAAATCGCAAGCAACCTCGAAGCTATTGCACGTAATATTCTCCTGTCCTATTTTCTGTTCGATGATCACGTCGACGATCTTGTTTTCGGCGAAGGTTTTCCAAAATTTTAGAAAATCTTGCTCGACATTCGCGCTGTTACACGAGTAATTAAAAATTACTCTCTTTTTGTCCAATATCACGTTGACGTCTCTTTAATCACTGTCTTTATTGCGATTCCCAATATTCGTGGAAAAGCTTTGAAAATCGCAAGCAACCTCGAAGCTATTGCACGTAGTATCCTCCTATACTATTTTCTGTTCGATGATCACGTCGACGATCTTGTTTTCGGTGAAGATTTTCCAAAATTTTGGAAAATCATGCTCGACATTCGCGCTGATACACGAGTAATTAAAAATTGCTCTCTTGTTCTTCAGATATGAGAAAGAAGACGTAGTATACTACTCTCTTTTTGTCCGATACCACTTTGACGTCTCTTTAATCACTGTCTTTATTGCGATTCCCAATATTCGTGAAAAAGCTTCGAAAATCGCAAGCAACCTCGAAGCTATTGCACGTAGTATCCTCCTATCCCATTTTCTGTTCGATGATCACGTCGACGATCTTGCTTTCGGCGAATATTTTCCAAAATTTTGGAAAATCTTGCTCGACATTCGCGCTGTTACACGAGTAATTAAAAATTGCTCTCTTGTTCTTCAGATATGAGAAAGAAGACGTAGTATATGGAACATCGAAGATCGACCAAAATGCGGAAGTATATAACATGAATCACAAACGGAGGGGAACGGCGTTAATCCTCAACCAGATTCAGTTTAAAAAGATGTCACCAAGACTGGGAGCGAAAACCGATTCGGCCAATCTGGAGAAAATATTAAAAGACATAGGCTTTGATGTTAAAATCTACCACGACTTAAACTTCAAGACGATAGCACTGACGTTAGAAGCGAGTAAGTACATATTTTCTACACATTAAAAAGAAGCTCTTTTTCTTTGGCGCCTCGAGATAGTTTCGAATGACCAAAAACGAGCGACTAGTTGCTCATCATTGAAACTATCAAAACGAATGCAAATTTTTTTATTTAAGATTTATCTCTATCGGGACAAAAGCTTATTACATAAAATCGATACTCGATCTGTTGATTCTAATGCCTAAAATAAAAATTAAAACGAGTCGTTGGGAAGCCTATTTTCCCGTATACTTTCACCGTGATCCATGGAACGGCGATGGAACGAAGGCAAAATTAATTCCTTCCCTAAATTAGGGTTGCCTTCCAAATTCCATTCGTTCGTTGAAACAACGGGAGCGTTGGGGATGAATAGGAAAAAAAATTGAACAAGCGATTCGCAATCGGTGCCTCGACGTGGAAAATTGCATGAAAATCGTTCGCGAAATTACGATAAATTCCGGCGGATCGTTTCCGCCTCGAAATTTTTTATTCCAAGTAGCAGACTGCAATTCGAGAGAGCTGATATAACGCGATTTAGCGCGCAAATCGCGTTTTATACGTAGCCGGGGACGAATTTTAATCATTTTTCTGCGCTGCTCGTTAAACAGCGCGCAATCCGTGACGTCGAGCAGAGGTGGATAATACGCGAAATAATTCATTTCGGCCGTGACTGGGTAACGAATCGCGTATCCATTATTTGAGTACCGTCACTTTGATGTAGTCTGCCATAGTCCGCGTCGGCCAGAAGTGCGAAATCTGCCGTGATTCTCTTTAAATGAAAATGTTTTCAAACCGCTCTGCATTATTTCGAAATAAATAATTTTAATTAATCATATATTACATACGCATTATACATATCTTTGCAATTTTGCTTATCATTAGTCTGGCAAATAGGGTAATTTTTTTGTCAAATAACGATAAGCGTAAATTGCATATTTTCCAACCTAATTAACGAACAAGCTGGAAAATTTCGAAATTTCGATCTGCGGTAGTTTTCCTCCAAACAGTCACGCGTGATACGCAAATAATAAATAAATATATATTCGATTTGACTATTTACATCTCTTTTCTACGATCACTTTTCCGAAAGATCATGCTTCGCGATAATTCGCGTGGAAATTAAAAATCCTACGTAAAATCTGTACAAAAGGTGTCTATATAAAAGGGGAATAGAAGGAAAATGGAAACTTGGTGAAACAAATCGATCTCCGACCACCCTCATTACCCTCGATCTCCTCGATTTCCGGCAAACGGAGCTGCATAGAACGAAGTAAGAAAAGCTACTCTGCCTTTGTGTGAGGTACGATCTCGGGAAGAATTCTTTGGCCAGAGTGCTACACGGTTCACGGTACGCTTCTTTCCCGTACACAGACCACGTAAATTCACACGAGCCGAACCCTCGTAGCGGATTTAAACAGCGGCTGTGACGAGGGGTGGGAACTGTTTTCACAGAGCGGACACATTCGAAACATATTCGTCGCGAACTCGGCAAACCGATGTTCCTAAATTCCCTGAGCGCGCGGGGTGCCGTAACATGGCCATAAAATTGGCTCGCGAGGTCGAGCCGGCGAACATTTCGAACCTTTGGCCAACAAATCGTCGGTAAACCGTTCGGAGAAGGGTGAGACGGGGTTGCGGGCGTAACTGTCCATGAAAAGTCACCGCCAAGCGTTCCGCGTTCGGTTCATTCTTTTCCTTTCATCCTCCTTCTATTTATCCTTGATCCATTCAAATATTGACACAATAGACGTCACCGCCGTGTTCCACGTACATTTATCAAACGCTTTTGTCGACGTCGAACAAAGATGTTCTTACATTGTCGGGCAAGCGTGAAGCTCGTAAATCGTTCGCCACCTGAATCATCCATAGATCGCAACAAACGTTCTAGAGGGTTTCGTTTAAAACGCCTTTCCCGGGTATTACCCCGGACGATGAATTTCAATGAACGGCTCGGTTGCAGCTCGCCTCCGCGATATCTCTTCCGGTTTACCCCGGTCGATCGAGGAATGATGGAACGTAGAGTAACGGCTTCGTTACTTGTCACAACGATCGGGTGTAGTCGTTGATCCAAGTGGCGATAAGACAACGGGTTTTAAATTCCGATTCCACTTGGAAATTTCGTTTCGATGCTCGCTACTCGGATGAGCAATGACCAACAGTGAGCGGTGAAGTGAAAAATTAAAACATTCCTACGGGTGACGAGATATCTCGTCTTTAGCAAGTCGAACGTTGTAGTCGGACGACGAGATATCTCGTTTTCAGGTTTCTTCGACTCGATTGACGATTTAAGGAATTAGAAATAGATTTTCTACCAGGGTGAAAGATGTATAAAAAATATATAGTAATATTTAGGAATATCTTATGTGAATATAATACCAAATGCAAAATAAAAGAGTGCATATATGTGGGATTAGAATAAGTACGGCCCTGAAGGGATGTCAAGTGTGTTTGGGCTTAGGACGAAAGTGATCGCGTGCAAGAGGGTTGACTGCAAGGAATGTTTATGATAGAGTCGAGTAAGAGGGATGCGTCCAGAGTAGTTGAAGTGCTTGGTCCACCGAGGTTGCGATGGATGAGGACACGATGAATGGTTTAAATACGGATGCAAGAATGCGGACGAGTCTTTAAGAGTTCTTGGCTAGTGTCTAAGAGTGTGTCAGTAAGAAGTCAAAGTCGAACGTGCCCATAGCGAATCCCCCTTGTTTCATAGCCGTCAATCTACCCATCAGCTTATTTTATTACATTAAGAAGTAAAACAACGCTATTTTAGCCAATTCACCCAACCCGATCCCACATATATGCAGCGTATAAAGTGTTTCTGGATCGCCCAAGAAAATGCGGGCCCTGGAAGCGCGTTGCACGAGCACAGTGCCGTACGCAATGTGTCAAGTAGGGAATTAAAGAAAGAATCACGGGATGATTCCTCTTCGATCCCTTGTGTTTATCGATATTGTCACTGATTGAATTTTGGCGAAATTCTGACGGATTGTAAGTCCGTCTCGCGATTTCATTATATTGCCAATAATATTGGACAACTGTTTCCATTATCACTAGCAAAAGGAAGATCTCGACTAGAGTCGAACGTTTCTCAGACTCTGGTACGACAATAGGAACCGATCTCCACTTGACGCTTTTCGTAGAACTCAGATCTCGATTGGAAGGCTCGAACTGTTCTCCTTGAGGTTTCCTGGATTCGAAGATGTCCAAGTGCCCCAAATATTATTGGCTAATTGGATCAAGGCGTTTCCTTAATACGCAAATCGGTCACTTTGAAGGAAGGGAAGATCCACCCAGACGACGATGGTGATAGAGAGAACCCTCTCCTTCAAGGTGGGGTACGCGGGGTCCATCCGCGCGTCGGTGACCCCATCCGCCATTTGTGGCCCCCTGCTGGAGCCTGAGGCTCCCAACGTATGCGGACCAGGCGGTGCCCTCAGGCTTATTGTTAATCAACTCTCATGCACCGTCGCCTAATTTCGTTAAATTAGGGTTTTCGTGGATTCAACACGCAGAAAGCATGGATAGGAAAATTCCGATGCTGAATTGTTATGGTCCTAAAGATTTTGCTGCTGGAAGACCATAACGGTGTCTTCCTTGTTCCACGATGAAACAGATATTGTAGTAAAACAAACATTTTCATGGTTATGGCTGACGTTGGTTATTTCCAGTTGTATATGTGTTATATGTTTGCATGGCTATTTTTATTTACAAATTAAGGCCATCTTTCCGCCATAATGGGGTGGTCGTTTATATTCGTTTATGATTAAACGTTCGTATTAATTTGGTGTACCACACGCGATAGGGCGATTGCGTATTTATTATCAAAGCGTTTCTCGCGAATAGAGGTGAGGTTATCCGTTGCGAAAATGACGGCGGCGCTCGCATGCGGAAATAAATTATTAATATATTTTCCCAGGCATTTCGAATTCTCCATCGTATTTTTGGCCGCGATAATTCTATCGCTGCCTGAATCTCCGTTGCTCTGTGAAAGTCGACCGGAGCTTTGGCGATTTAAACGAGAGTATAGTTTAGACCATAATGGGAAAGCGATACCGTTAATAAAACAGATAACGAGGTGAGTTTGATATTTAACCACCGGCCCGACGTTTTTCCGTGTTTCCATGCCTCGGCTTCGCGAGTGATACTCTCTCCCGAATATAGCAATTTCCAAATTATCGGTGGCAATCGTTATGGGTATAATAACGCAATCGTGTGTAACATTGACGCTAAACCGAACCAGCTTCCGACATGGTTGAACTTGTTGCCATGTTCGAATCGAGCGCTTCCCATTGGAAAAATACAAGGGAAATAATTTCAACTTTTTTCTCGCTACAGAAAAATGCTCTAAAACACGTGGAAATAAAAATCGTTGGCAAAACTACGAATACGGGAATATAATAAATATTTCTCTAAAATATTTTGTTTGCTCAATTTTTCCGAGATGAAATATTTAACTTTTATTCCTTTCGCGGAAAATCCAGCCTGCAAGATCTCGAATTTCCGTTTCCCTCTCCACGCACAAATTTCGAATAAAATTCGTGTCACACGCAAAGGGAATATATGTAGTTCATGTTAAAACATACCGGGTTGTTTACACGAGATTTTCTCGTCGTTTTCCAGTCGCTATGGCTCCCTTACGAGACATTCCCATGCTTCGTGTACGAAAAGTATCCGTAACGTTTCCTCCATCAGAACCCACGAATTTCGAATAAAATTTGCATGGAACGATCCTCGAATGGATCCAGCCAGGGAGAACTGCGCGCTTAAGCAAAGTCTGTTTATAATTTCCGAATTTCTCGCGTTATTTTTTCAAAAAATTTGCAATATGACTCGAATCGTGATATAATTCAAGAATTACTTCGTTCCAGAACAAATATATCCAAATATATTAATTCGTAGAATCAATTACTATCCCCTATCTTGCAGGAACAGCGAGACAAAAATAAATTTCTCCATTCAATAACCAAATTAAAAGGCTGGATCTGTAAAAAAAGAGTTTC